ATGGAAAAAAAACATACCATTTGCTTGGTATATTTTTTTCCATCCTTTCATTTCAAGGACAGACACTATCTTAAAATGAAAGGATGGAAAAAAAATATACCAAGCAGATGGTACTAAGAAAAAAGGAGGCGTAGCAATTCTAATATCTGACAGAATAGACTAAAGTAAAACTAATCAGTGGAGATAAAGAGGGCCACTTCATTCTGACCAAAGAAACAATAAATCAAGAAAATATTACAATTATATATTCACCAAACTCTGGTGCACCCAACTTCATAAAAACAATATTACAGGACTTTAAGACCCAGATTAATCCCAGCTCATTAATAGTAGGGGACTTCAGTACCCCACTGTCTCCATTAGATAGGTCAACAGGGCAGAGAGTTAACAGAGAGACATCTGAATTAAACAATACCATATATCAAATGGACTTAACACATCTACCGGGTATTCCACCCAAGTACCAAAGGACATACTTCCTACTCAGCACCCCATGGAACCTTCTCCAAAATCGACCATATAGTGGGGCACAAAACAAACCTCAACAAATACAAAAAGATTGAAATAATTCTATCAGACCACAAAGCAATAAAGCTCACAGTCAACACCAGAAGAAGCCCTAATCGCCAAATGAACACATGGAGATTAAACAACACACTCCTGAATTATGAATGGGTCAAAAGAGAAATTAAGATAAAATAAAAGTATTCCTGGAACAGCCGAGCTTGGTGGCGCTCGCCTTTAATCCCAGCACTTGGGAGGCAGAGGAAGGCAGATCTCTGTGTGTTCAAGGCCAGCGTGGTCTACATAGCGAGTTCCAGGTCGGCTGGGGTTACAGGGAGGCCCTGACTAAAAAAAGACCCCCCCAAAAAAAAATATCCTGGAACTAAATGAAGAGGACAGTACAACACAACAAAACCTCTAGGACAAGCTTCCTTAGAGGGAAGTTTATAGCTCTAAGTACCTACATCAAAAATCAGAACGAACACAAATAAATGACTTAACATTGCAACTCAGGGCACTTGAAAAGCAACATCAAATGAAACCCAAACCCAGCAGACAAGAAGAAATAACAAAAATCCGGGCAGAAATTAGTGAAATCAAAACAGAACAATACAAAGAATCAACAAATCTAAAAGCTGGTTCTATGAAAAGATAAAAAAGATTGACAGACCGCTAGCCCATTTAACCAAAAGAAAGAAAGAGCACCTCCAAATCAACAGAATCAGATGAAAAGGGAAACATCACAACAGACACCAGAAAGATACAGAACATTATAAGGGAATACTTTAAAAACCTATGTGCTACTAAATTTGAAAACCTAAAAGAAATGGACGGATATCTAAAGGCATGGGAACCACCAAAACTAAACCAAGAAGAGATTAACAGCTTAAACAGACCCATAACACAAAAAGAAATTGAAACAGTAATACACAACCTCCCGACTAAAAATTCCCAGGACCTGATGGAATTACAGCAGAATTCTACCAGACATTTAAAGAAGATCTACATCCAATACTACTTAATTTATTCAAAAAGATAGAAATGGAGGGAGAACTTCCAAATTCCTTCTATGAAGCATCACTCTAATACCAAAGCCCGGCAAAGATACAACCCCCAAAGAAAACTCTAGACCCATATCCTTAATGAACATAGTTGCAAAAATTCTCAAACAAGATACTTACAGACTGCATACAGACACACATCAAAAAGATCATCCACCATGATCAAGTCAGCTTTATCCCACAGATGCAGGGATGGTTCAATACACATAAGTCAGTAAACATCATAAATCAAATAGGATCAAAGACAAGAGCCACATGGTCATCTCAGATGCAGAGAAGGCCTTTGACAAAATTCAACATACAT